AGATGAACTTCAGAAAAATTCTGTCTTGAGAAAACAGATGTAGAAACTTAGATTTCCCCTTTTTCCCCTCCTCCAACCTCATCGCTTGTAGGAGAGAGATCCCCATTGTCACAGAAAGGCAGGGAGAGCTGGCCGACCCCTCTCAAATGCAGGCTTTCTTCCTCTTACAGAAGCCCCCAGGGCTAAGCATTGCCTTTATCTAAAAACACAGTCACTTCCAACCTTTACAAATGTAGTACTGAAAGACAAGGACAGAACTGGTCACACTGGTGGAAGTAGGACCTTCCTCTAGTTCTATGACCTTGTCCCGAGCCACATGCAAGTGCAATCAGAGGGTCGTGTGAAATGATTGCGTGATGTCAGAAGCCGAGTCTAGTCTTTTCAGTGGATGTGAGGAAGGGTAGCTGAGAAGGGAGCTGATTCACAGGCCAAGTCCACTGGGAACCTGTGAGAGCCCCCAGAGAGCTGAGGCAGAGCAAGCTGTGACTCCAGGGCCCTCGGGGAAGGAAGGACACTGGAGAATTTTTTCCCTGGATAGAATCTAGTCTCAGTCATGCCACTAAGTAGCAGTGGCCACAAGCAGGTCACTTAACCTTTCTGAGATTCCGGTTGCTCCTCTATAAAAGGTGGGGAGGTTACACTAAGTCAGGGTTGTCAGTGGGTGGCACCTACTTCCTCACCTCCCCCATGCCTTCGTGGAGGTGCCGCTCGAGCACATCCTAGTGTAAGCATTTTTCTCCAGCATACTAGGCAGGCATTGCCCAGTTAGAGTCAGTACACAAGCTGAAACCTTCTTATCCTCCCTCCTTCTGATGATCTCTGAAGTCCCTTCTAAACGGGAGGTTCCAACTTTTGAAGTAAGAGAGGACCATTTTACTGATTTAGTAATAGCTCACTCCAAAAAAAAAAAGAAAGGAACATGGAAATTTAGGGTCATAATTTCACACACTCCACATCCCCACCTGTGGCCCTAGCAGGATTTTCCCAGGTTCACACTGTCCTTCCTTGTGCGAGAGATTTTTGTGTCTGAGCTTCACCCTTTGTCAGCTCACCCAGCATGGCAGTAACCCAGACTGTAGCTCTGTTTTACCTAAAATAGCCCATCCTTTAAAAGGATAATTGGGTATCAAGGGACCTACAGGGAAAGGAATGATCTCAGTTCACTAAAAAAACAAGAGTCCATAAAACAGATAAATGACAAGGACCTACGGTATAGCACAGGGAAGTATATTCAACACCTTGTAATAATATATATAGTGGGAAAGAATCTGTAACGAAAAAATATACATGTATGTTATGTGTATAACTGAATCACTTTGCTGTACACTTCAAACTAATTTTGTAAATGAACTACACTTCAATGCAAAATTTAAAAAGCAACAAAAAATGCCCAAGAGTCAGAAGAGGTGGCATTTAAGGACTCCATTCGCCTCTCACCAAAGCTGCTGAGAGT